TGCGTCTTGCCAATCGATTGCCTTGAGACCTCCAAAGTGAGAGCAGGAATGACCTCAGAAGAGCGTCAGTTTTTATACGAGGCCATCCTCACACATGAGGACGTAGATTTGGCAGTCCAGAAAATCAACATGTATTGCGAACACGCAAGAAGTCTGTTCGAAAAGGACCATCCAGGCGTTGATCCATGCAGCCTTGATGATATTAGGAACAATCCTCCGAATACGTATGACAGCTCCACAGAGGCTCCAACCCTGGAGGAATATAAGAGCATTAACAAGAGTCACATCAATATCAAGGACTCTAGAACAAGCCACCCGGCTTCTTTTCTCTCTCTTACTGGCTACGAAGACAAACTGGTGCTCGACGCACATTACGAGATAGTTCGCAATAGGATGGCCGGTGTTAACGAGAAGAGAGAATACATTGAAGGCTCAAACCCAGACAGCGTATCGCTAAACCTAGTGGTATTCAACTGGGGAAATATGGATCGAGCGCCGGTGCCCGCAGGGAATCCCAAAAAGAAGCTCAAACCTGAGAAGGGATTCGATTATCACCCTCTTATTGACATGTGCTTCAACAATTCAGCTCATATTACCCTCGTACTCGAGGCAGGAGCACTTGCGTCAGAGTATTCGATCGCAACCATGCGACAACATGAATACAGGGGGATGCTAATCCATTCTCCTCCCAAGGAGCCTGAGGCACCCTCGATGTATATTGGAGTCAAGGGTGACCCAACAACAGACATCGCTCTCGTCCACCACTTTTACCGTCATCGAACAATGAAGCCTAAGAATGGTGGTCCCAAGAAGCGACTGTGGGCATGCCACGGTGCGGTATGCCGCCTCACCTTTGGGTACCACAGTACCATACCAGAGGCAAAAGAATGGGTCCACCCATATTCTGGCCAAAGGATGACGAGAGACGAGTTCATGCAGATTATCGGATATGACCCACTCAAGGGCAAAAATCCTGACAAGGATGGACCCACTGATGGCTCTTACCTCTCACCAGAGGCGTGCCTGACACTGTCGAACCTCGACCCCTCGCCGATTCTCTGTGAATGGAACGGCCATGTCGAGGGTGATGAGCCACCAGAGGAAGACTTTGAGTCATACGCAGAGATCTTCTCACAAGAAGCATCGAACGATCTTGACGAGATGTGGTGTACAAAAGGGCCTTACAAGGTCATCACCATCGCGATCGTCCATTTCAACTCATTCATGACTCATAAGGAAGAACAGAGACGCGAACTGGTGAACGCGTTCCTCAACGAGATTCTCCCTTTTAAACCGGATGTAATAGCGGGAGATCTCAATAATATTGCGTCGAGGCTCACCTTAAAAGGTGGAGACGTTCACCCGCGAAACAGTTTGTTTTCTCTATACCTGGAGAAGAAACTTGCAGCATTCAACAAAATAGCAGGAAGGCACTCACAAGTGCGACATCTTTGCTTGAACAACTCCGACCAGCACAGACTGGCACGTGCAGATCGTCTACCGGCGGACCCGGCGAAGAAAGTTGCTGACCTTGACTGTATCAACAGTTATATCCTTGACTGGAGTAAAACGCCGCACACGGCGTCACCTAGTCCAAGAGAGGTCACACCTGCCGCCGAAAGAACATACTGGGAGCGAATCTCAGATATGTGGCAGGACACGAACAACAACAGGGATATTGATATCCGTCTGTTTGTCTCAGTCAAGCAGTACTATTCAACTTTTTCTAACCTTGACCTATGGTTGAGTCCCTCTGACAAAGATTGGCACAGCCCTTTGGGCTTCACGATACAACCAATCCTTACAAAAGGGAAACACAACCGGTCAGATGCCCAGGTCCAAAAGATCGCTGACAAGCGAAAGGCTTACAAGCAGCGTAATGCTGAATACTGGGGTTACAACGATTCATTCGTTTACTCATCCGGCAACAGCTGGTACGACAAATCGCAACCATCAGGTAGCCATCACAGATATGGAAGATTCTGGGAGTGGCCACAGCCTGAACGTCCCAGCGAGCCTGAAGGTCCTCCTCCAAGAAGGAACCAGGAATCATCGTCCTCTTCACAACAAGATCTACCAAGATCAAGGTCCAGGCCTCAAAGAACCAATATTGTTGACAAGCTCAACATGTCTTTGGAAGAGCTGGATGGACTAGAAGAAGAACCGTCACCAACAAAAAGTGACATCGAAGAACACGAAAGAGAAACATCAAACTTGATGTCTGCTCAGAGAGATGAAGAGGAACAAGAGGACGAATCCTCCAGCCGGAGAAGAAGAAGGAAGGCATCGCGTCCACCGTCTGCTCCGAGCGGCAAGGCACTCAGAACAGCTGCTACAGCAGCGGGATTGTCGGGCTGGTTCGGACACCGCAACCGAGGTGGAGCAAACGCAGAGTCTATCAAGACTGATGAAACTTCACTTCCAAACTCACTAACCAGTGAGCAGGACTTCTCCGTCTTCAGCATCGCGTGGAATGTGTTCTTGCTGCTAATGGGCTTACACTGGATGTGGAAGCAGATTACCAGGCCTCCTATCAGATGTATGGAGCGCCAACAACCAAAATCAAAAGCAGCAGCGAACCAAAGAGTTCCATTCCTCGAACCCGAGGATGAACCGCAGACGCGTGAACCTTTAGGACCCAACAGGGTCAATTCCGGAGAAACAACTGATCTGCGACCTATCTGGCATACTTCCCGAAGCGAAGTCTACCATCTCTCAGACAGCTGTTACCAGCTCAAGCAAGCAAGAGATGTTTGCAAGAAGGTGCTGTGCAAAAACTGCCTCCATGCAGTACAAGTTGCGGAGATTCGCAGGAACGATCCTTTCCAAAGAGGTGATACACGACCACGTGGCACCGAAAGAGACATTGAGCGCTTCCAGACCTACGATGATGCAAGTAACACTCCTCATATGACACAATTATTCAAAGATGCCTTGCATGCACAAATGGCCGAAGAAGCCATGCAGATTACCTATACATCGATCCCCAAGGGATCCTCGGCAAAGGCCAGAGGTACATCTGCACTCTCAAGTGCCGCATCGTCATCAGCGCCCAAGGCAATGCCACCAGGGCCTAACAAGGCAAACATATCACCTCCACCTAAGAGTCCTCCGCCAAAGGCGAAAGGAACAGTACCTTCTGATCCTCCAAGACCAAAAGGTCCTACCAGAAGAGGAGGTCAAAATCGGCGCATTCAACGAAAGGCAGCTAGAGAAGCCCACAACAGTGGACTCTGCACCTATGCAGACGCTGCACTTAACGAAGCCAATCAAGGCCAGGCAATTAACGTTACGTGCCGAAACATGGCAGCAAGACACGTCAGCTCTATCGATGCAACGGTAGAAGCAGCCGGCCAGTTTACACAACGCGTGCTACAGCACGTAGAAACATATGATGAAGAGGAACCGTGGAGCACGGAGTTCCTACCAGTCGTGGAAGTCCTATTCAGGAACTTAAGCGGCGACGAAACAACTGTCATACATGACAATCAAACGGTAACTATGCCTCTTGCGAAATACACAGACCTCCTCAGAATCGCACAATCATTGCGAAGCTCTATCCAGAGAGACAAGGAGGAAAGGAAGGAACATCTTGACACCATCCAAGATACTCTATCCAGAGTGGAAATCCTTCTAACAGCACTGAAGGACTCAAGGACAGTCTTTAACCAATTGGTCCATTCCTCACTAGAGATAGAGCGAAGAAATAACAATCTCAAAAATGTCCTCGAGACACTTTTTGACGACCAAAGCTCTGAGGAAGACCAGTCAGAATCTGACAATGAAGAAGTCCTAACTCCTTCTGCAGCACAGTACTGGAATAGCCTTTATGCCCACGCCTTATCTCCTTCAGGAGATGAAAGTGAAAGATCATGGGCGTCCTCAGACGGACAGCTTGAAAGAAGAAGGGCTGAACGGGCAAAGGCTAAGCAGCCACAACCGGCTAAAGCCAAGGCAACTCCAGTCAGCTCACAAGCTGCTCCAAAGGCCGAGCCAAAGGCGACAACATCCAACCATGGATATGATACTGCAGACGCCGCCTTCACCAGGGCTGAGAACAGATTACTCGGAATCTTTTCAAGTTCCGAAGAAGATCACTCAGACCCGGATGAGCCACATCCGAACGTCTATGCTCGAGCCTATGATCCAACCCTGGATCCGAATCTGAGATAAGAAAATTCTCAGAGTTTCACAACAGTGAATCACAAGGCTCTAACAAGAGCACAATGAAGGGCTGCATAATTCGGTAGGAGAACATTACCAGACCTGATCTTGTACAGATGATCTCTCTGACCAATATGCATGAGTGTGTGCAAAAGGAGTGACCTCAACAGTGTACTTCAGTGCTATACCTAGCATAAACAATATGCTGTTTTTATCATGAGTCCAAACTCCGCAACTGTGACAGTGGGCATAACAGTATATGTGTGAATGTGCGGCCATGCTTCCGGTAAAAGAAAATTAGTGTCTGTTTGAAACCATAAACCTCTAAAGGGGTAGCTCTAACAGGTACCTACAGCAATGGCTGCATGCTCATACATATACATTCCGCTGCCCATTGGCTCACAGTGGTTTTACCATATTGAGACAAGACAAGCTCTCCTTGCGTAGCAAGACAAAACAACTACTGTCCGTGTGCAGGGCGCTGCCCTTTGATCCTTAGGGAATAACTGGTCATACACCTCCTCACAAGGAGTATCCCTTGGGGGTGTATCGGCACAGGGGGAAGGGGGGGGGGAGGGGAGGGGCTGGAAAGGAGGGGGGGGAGGCCTGGGAGGTGGGAGGCCGACAAATGAGGTAAAATGAGGGGAAGCCGGGCAGGGGGTGGCAAACGAACGCAAAAAACGGGTGTCCCCAAACATTTGGACCAGGGGAGGAGGATTAGGTGGAGGGTACCTGAGCTAACCCCCAAGACGCCTGGGCCTCTGGCCTCGGCGGATAATAAGTACAGTTACCTGAATTTTAACCCCAGTTACTAAGTCCCATGATCCTTTAAGCAGGTGCCTGGCGAGCTTGGTGTGGCTTTGGTGCCTGCGGAGCTCTTCCGCCTGAGCCTCGGTGCTGGCCTTCAGGATCTCAGCTTGCTAGCCGTCGCCGAAGACCAGGGCTTTGCCAGAGGGATCCTCCAACTGCAGCACGATTCTTCCGTCGGCCTCGTCTGCGATGATGGCTTCGATGATCGGGTGGCGCAAGTGGCCTGCCGTGATCTCGGCTTGGCCGGTGGCAGGGCCCTGGCAGCCTTAGCAATGTGGGGTGCTGCGGGGGCCGGCACCATCCTTGCTGACAACATCAGGTGTACAGGCGCAGAAATGAGCCTTCGCGAATGCTTCTTCCGCGGGTGGCACGTCCACGACTGCGCTCCTGAAGAAGCCGCAGGCCATTTAAATCAAAAGTAGGACTGCTTCATGTCGTGTGTTTTTTTTTGCTTTCTTTTGTGGGCTTACTTTCCGGTGCAGGTCTCGAGTGCCAGTCGGATGCCTGGAGCGACTTCACGCCCGCCGGAAGCCCCGCCGGGCGCCAGGACGCCTCTGTGGTTTGGGACAGCGAGACTCAGTCTGCATGGATGTTCGGGGGCCACGCCAGCAATGCCTTCCTCTACTTTGCGGACCTGTGGCGCTACGACTGGCCTCGACGAGCTTGGACGGAGATCCTGCCGTTGAGTGGGGGTGCCGCCCCCGGCGCCAGATGGGGCCACGCGGCCGTGTGGGACGAGCAGTCCAGGTCTATGCTGGTGTTTGGCGGCCGGTTCCAAGTCACCTTCTACGACGACGTCTGGCAATTTCTCAGCGAGGACGGCGCTTGGAGGCAATTGCCAGCCTTGGCGAAGTCATCGGCACGCGCCTACCACACGGCGATCCTGGACCCCGTGGAGAGGGCCGTGCTCGTCTTCGGAGGTGAGAGCGGTAGCCAGGTGTTGGAGGACCTCCAGCGCTACAGTTTGGCGGACGGCCAGTGGAGTGAGTCTTTGGCACAGGGGCCGGGAGCCCGCAGCCGACACACGGCCGTCTGGGTGCCCACAACCCGGTTCATGCTCGTTCTTGGAGGGTGGAGCGGGCAGCAGTATCTGGATGACCTGCGCAGCTACGATGCTTCGGCAGGCACCTGGACGGACTTGTCAGCTTCAGGATATTGGCCCGCGGCTCGCGCTGGACATGGTGCCGTGTGGGACCCCATTTCAATGAGCATGCTAGTCATGGGCGGCATCACCAATCTCAGCAACGACCTGAGCTACGATGCCTCCATCTACAACTACAGCCTCTTGACGAACTCTTGGAAGGAGGAGGGTTTGCAAAGTCAGGTCGTGGGCCCAAGTGGCCGTACGGGTCATGGCGTTGTTTGGGACTTCGCTTCTCGCGGCTTGCTGTCCTTCGGTGGTTTCAATGCCTCCTACTTGCAGCAAACCTGGCGATACGTGGTCAGTCAGACCAACCCGCCCTTTCTGGTCCACTGCCAGCAGGGCCGCAACTGTTCCTTCCGCCGGAATGCCTCCGGCTCTGTGGCCGCGAAACGCACCTGCTCCGACCCGGATTTCTTGGCAGGACTCCCTATGCTGCTCTCTGGTGAAGCAGAGGAGGATCTCTGGATGTTCGGAGGAAATGCATCTCATTTCTTCACGGAACCGGGTCATCACCGCCTCTGCTGGTGTGATGTCGTCAACTGCAGCCACCCCGACAACTTCAGTGTGACATTGGGCTACTTTGTTGTAGAGGGGCCGCAACTGCACCAGTCCGCTCGCTGCTACCTTGGCACAGACTGCACGATCGCCGGGTGGCGAGGAGTCGGCATCTCCGCGAACGACAGCCTCGTGATGCAGAGCCGATGTAACGGAGAGCCGCAGGCCTCTTCTTCCACCTACCCCCGGCGTTCGGTCACCGTCTCCTTCAACGAGTCCTACGGTTGGCACACCTTGCACGTGGGCTTCCTGGACCCTTCGGAGGGCCTGAAGCCGGAAGCTCTGGAGCTTTGCTGGTGCCCTGCCACGGCGGCCCCGTGCGCTTCGGCGGAGGACTTTCTCGTGGTCGCCCTGAGCCTGGAGGTCCTCTGCCCGCCCGGCGAGTACAGCGAAGGGCCCGGCTCCTCCTGCCTGCCCTGCCCACCGAACTTCTTCTGCCCCGGAGGATCCGAAGTCCAAAGCTGCCCGTCGGCGAGCACTTCGATGCAGGGCTCACGTCCGCCTCTCAGCACTGCGAGATACTGCGAGCATTGCATGCGCTGCTCTCATCTCACAGAGCACACCTGAGCGTCGGCGTGTCACTCAGCTGTGCTCTTCCACCGAGGCCAACTCCCCGACTGCCTTTGCCTTCGAGGGCGCTACTGGGATGCAGAGAGCACCATCTGCCTGGCGTGCCCCGCCGGGTCTTCGACGTTGCAGGCGGGTCGTCTGCAGGTCGTTCGTAGGTAGCTCAGCATGGTGAGGTGTCTTCTCCTCCTTGTCTTGTCGGCTGCACGGCATACCTGCTCAATGACTGGAGGAGGGCGCCACCGGCCTTGCGTCCTGCACCTGCATGCCCGGCTTCTTCAATACGCAGAATGACAACCCGGCAGTTTGTGAAGCCTGCGGCGTGGGCTTCTTCTGCACAGGGGGCCTGCAGACCCCGCAGCCGTGCGCCGCGTCCCAGACCACCGAGAGCGACACTTCAGCCGACGAGTCCCAATGCGTTTGCAGAGCTGGCGAATTCTTGCAGGACGGGCTTTGCGCCCCATGTCCGGTTGGATTTTTCAAAAGCAGCGTTGGAGACTCCCCGTGCGCGGAGTGTGGTGGTGGCACCTTCAGCAACAATACTGGCAGCACAGAGCGTTGTAGATGCCGACAAGGCTTTGGTTTGGATGAGGAGACAGACCAGTGCACAGAATGCATTCCCGGCGAGTACAAAGCCCTGGTGGGAGACATCCCTTGCAGCCGGTGTTCCGCCAACAAGACCTCGATAGAGGGTGCCACATCTCCCCTTGATTGTCGATGCCGCTCAGGTCTGGCAGAAGAGGGCCAAGCCTGCCGAGTTTGCAGAGCAGGCTTCTTTTGCCCAGGCCAGGGTGAAGAGCGGCGATGTCCGGAGAATGCTACCTCACGCGCTGGCTCCCTCCAACAAGCAGACTGCTTGTGCAACCCGGGGTACTATGCCCTTGAAGCTCGGGCCATCTGTGAGCCTTGCCAACCTGGACGCTACAAGCCCACGCTGGCTAACGATGCAACGTGCCCTTTACAGTGCCCTACAAATGCCCAGAGTGCCAATGCGTCCACCGATCTGCGAGACTGTTTCTGCGTGGCAGGATTCTATGCAGTTCTGGATGAAGCAGGATTCCTAGCCAGTTGCGCGAGTTGTGCACTACTCCCAAATCTCCAATGTTTGGGTGGTTTTCACACTCAAGCGGGCATTCACCGGCTGCCTGTTGCTCAGCCAGGCTACTTTCAGACAGGAGTAGCTATTGCTGTGAAGTGCAGCGCCGTCACGGCCAGTGGGTTCAGTACTTGTCTCGGCGGGAAGCCATGCGCACAAGGTGAGGCACTAGAATGCTTTGGCAAATATGCCAACGCTTGCGACGAAGGCTCCACCGGAGTGTTCTGTGGAGACTGCCCAGCTGGTTGGGCCAGGAGTGCCTATCAACAGCCATGCCGACCTTGTGCGTCCGATGCTACTTTCCCACTGGTAGCCTCAGTCATCATCGATGTTGGGACGAAGGCCGCGAGTGCCGAATATTTTTCAGATTTTCCCCAACAGCACGACGAGCTCTGAATTTTTCAGCCGAAATAAGGTTTGGGGCAGATTGGGGAAGGCCTGGGGCAGGTTCCGGGTTCCAGGGCGGGGGGTTTGGAGTGGGTTCTGCAGCGGGTTCCGCCGGGCGGTTCCGAGTGTTCCGAGCTGGTCGGCTTCTGTTGAACGGGTGCTTCTTTAGACGACACAACATATGCATCAAAAGCATCGATGAGTCTATGCTGGAGTACAACTCTGACACCAAAGCTCTAGCTCAAGCATGCATGTTCGCAGCGGTCTGAGACTCGTGGTCTGCTTAACTAAACCTCTCCCGCAGGGCCAAATGCATTTTCCAAGGCCTGCTACACGAATTTGAGGCCACGGTTTCAACCAAATCTGGATCTGAATGCTGTCCCTACATCCGAAACTCGCACCGACAATGCTTGAATTAGCATTCCCGAGCTTCAACATGCATTTCATAATTCGTTTCTCAAGGCTTGGAAAACACATTCACACCTGTTTCAGCTTGGCCGGTGCCCCTGGTCCGATTCCCGAGGCTTTCATTGAGCTCTCGAAGCCCCCGACCAGCCCAGACGCATTTCCCAAGTTTCAACGGAACTAGAGCTCAATGCCGCCCCTGCACCCGAAAATCGTCTGCAAATGCTTTAGTTAGGTTTCCAAAGCACCAGGCTGCATGTTCAAGGTCTGGAAAAGGCGCTTGCTGAGCTGTTTCAGCTTTGCTGGTGTTTCTGCTCCCAGTCCCCGAACCGAAATCAACTTACCTTTGGTTAGTAGGGAATGGAGGAATGGGGTACAATTATAACTAGTATTATAACTACTATTACTACCATTCTTCCATTCCCTCTGATGAAGGCCAAATGCTTTTCCCGAGGGGGCCGCTAAACGGGCATGGACACCCATCTACAGCTCAGTCAGCTTTTCTGGTGCCCTTAACGTGAGTCCAACGACAGCCATTCCACTGCTGGGGATATTCAATGGGATTATCAGGGGAATTGGCCTAGCCCAGAAGCTTTTAACTGCCAGTTCAAGCCAACCCGAAGTAGCATATTCGTGCTGGAAGATTGCCACTGACCATCAGACCATGGAAAGTGCAAGAAGTGGGAGGGAGCGGGTAGTGGGATGACAGGCCACGATCAACTTCGTGGTGGCGGCCATGGCCGCAACGGCAGCCGTCAGAGCAAGCACGAAGCTCCACACGGTGATGATTCGCATCGCCATCCAGTGGTTGGCTACCTGCTCCGTCCTGACGGCCTTCGACCTCAGTCAGATTCCGCTCGAGAACACGGAGACCAGGGGGGGCGAAGAGGAAGAGAATTCGCTCTTCCCGTGGCCTCTGCAGGCGAAGGGTCCTTCAGACCGGAGATTCGACCCCTGAAAACCCGCTTTACCCCGCAGGTCAGTGCAGCGATGCGGGGCCTCTTCGAGACCCTCACGCTGACGCCCGTTTTGACATCCGTCGATGTGGCCACACAGTGCTTTGCCCAGGCCATTAAGAGCATGCGATGGTGCTACACAGTCAGTAGACTATATGCGGTCGACAAAGTGCTTGGCAACCAAGACCGTGCCACAAAGATATCGCAGGTACCCCAGGCCAATTATTAATCGCGGAGCTCAGGTTGTGTGTTGCCTGAAGTCCGAGACCCATCTAACAAGCTCGAATTCATCCCATTCAATCCTTAGACCGAGTAAGTGTATGGATACAGGGAGCCAGTGTATGCTGCATGATTCCCAAAAAAAAGAACGTTGACATGTCAGCTTCTGTCTCTCCATGTATTCTTGCAATCTAGCGGTTTCGGACTCTGTCAGGATGCGCCACGTGTCGCCATTGGAGTGTACCACCTCTCCTTGCCCGTCTTAGTCATCATCGGTATCCTTCTTCTCTCCTTCTTGGTGGTGCACGTGGCGGTGCCTGTGGGGCAGCGTTTCGGCTTCTCCTTCAACGAGTTCGGACGCAGCTTGAAGCAACTGCGGAAGGTCATCGACCCCATGCTGAAAGAGATTTGGTGCAAACCTGTCGCTTCCATGACCGAAGCTCCGAGCACATTGGCATTGGGTACTCCTGACGCCTTCTCCTGGGCGGACTTGGAGCGCTTGGGCATTTTGGGGAACCTCACCACGGCGCAGCTGCAGCAAGCAGCCGAGAACCCCGACAGCTTCCTGCGCGCAGCTGCAGCCGGGTCGCGAGAGCTCCTGCTCAGCGCCTGTGCGGCCCGTACTGCCCAGCTGCACCCGCAGGCCGAGGCACAACAGGTTTACCAAGAGCTGGCGCAGGCGCCGCAGCTGAGCTTGACTTGCAGCGCGCTGTCTGAGCCCGAGCTGTGACGGTTTGGTTTGTGATTGCTGCAATCGCACTTGCGCAGGCGCATCTCCGAGAGTTCCTGACCCCGGAGTTCGCCACCCAGTCTCCGAATTTTACGGCGATGCTGGACACGGTCCTGGATGCCGCATACACCTTCAACGAGGAGACCCTGCCCGTGCCGGAGGAAGGCCCTGAGCAAGAAGAGGCTGATGAGCTCCGGCTCGTGGGCTCGGAGCACGCGGAGCACGCACATGGCGATGTCGTCACCGTCGCCTCGGCCGCAGACGAACTGCCCGGACCCCAAGAACTGAGCTACTGTACCCGTGCTTGTACTCCGAAGCCTTTCCCGAAGCTTCCTGTGCTTTGCTTGCCGAGGCCCGCCAAGACACCCTTTGCGGCAAACAGCACCTTCAGTACTACATCTTTGGAAAACCGGGCATTCCTGATGGACTCTCTGGACTTTGGCCTATTCTCAGCGGCACCTCGTTTCGGCCAGCTTGCACGCCAGAGCATTCCAGTCATCTGGGTGAGCCTGGTGTCTTTATGGCCTGGGCTGCTGTCCAGCTTCCTTCAGATGATCTGGTGCGTGCCAGTTCCGGAAGACGATGTCATCGTGAACCGACTGCTGCCCAACCCCTCCGTCATTTGCTGGTCCGACGAGCACCTGGTTTCTGCTCGCTTCGCCATCGCTGGACTCTTTTTTTGGTGCCTGGGCATACCGATTGCACTGGCCACCTTATTGCTGCGCCTCCCCGATAGACACGCTCCTGACAACTTCAGGCCAGGTCGAAAGACAGGGCCCATTGTGAAGTATGCAGAAGACGTGAATTCCAAGCCCTGATTCGCAGGCGATTCGGCTATTTCTTCCAGGGCCTGGAGCGACAGTTTTGGTGGTGGGATCTCCTCGTCAAGCGCTTCGACGTGGCCTCAGATCGAATCCCCACAAGTGGTGTTGTTTGACAAGTGCTGAAAGCTTGCTGTGGGAACAGGGAGCGTTTGAGAGCGTGTTTAGGACGGCCATCGGTTTGAGGTACTCGTCACTCGTTTGCTGTTCGCCCCTGCATGGGCACACGTATGTATCAGGGAGAACAGCCCTTTGAAGGGCCCAAGAAGTCAGCCGAGGACCTGGGGCTGATGATGCTCGTCGCCTACACTTCAGTTGTGCCCGATCCCGCGGCGAAACTCGCTATCTTCCCTGTCCTCTCGGGATTCCAGGCGTGCTTGCAGTCAAGGACTCAAGGGCCAGGTTCCGTACTTCCATGAGGAAGACACATGCAACCCTCACCGCTTTCTGGAAGCATCTGCACTCAGCCGTGAAAGCCGGCAGGCGTTGCTGGTAGCGTGCGTCCGGCCCTATACAAACGATCAAGCTGAGATACTGGATGTCTTGGAGGCCATCGGGGTGTTTCTGCTGCTCATCCGTGCTTTGAAGGGTTTGCCGAGTGCTTCCGCACAGGTGACCCTGTGCTCAATCCGGTTTCTGCTCTTCAGTGGAGTGGCGATGCTTCTCAACCTGGAGACGTCGACACAGACGGTTCACTTGCCACTGTGCCGAAACCTGAAGCTCCTAAGCCCTGTCCTGAATCCCATACGCGGGCCCGACCGGGAGCCAATCCAGGGTGGCCTACCTCCTCTTGCTGGTCTTGGTGCTTGGCTGTATGGACTTCTTCGCCCACTTCGCGGCGCAGGTCGGCAAGAGTTTTGTGTTCTCAACAGGCACTTGCATACTTCGTCACGATCGTATTCTATTGTCAGTTACGGCTGTTGCGCTAGTATTCGTTACGAGTACTACTGCAGTACATACAGACTACACAGCCGCAAAATGCTACAGGCTGTTGCATGCTCTTTCCTTTCTCATCATTATCTCTGTTACTATCATGAATCATGATCGGCATGGCATCTTGGCACAGTTTCGTATCGCTCTTGCAAAGACCATCAGGAGTGGAGGTTGTGGTTACAGCTCCTATATATGACCATTCCTCGAGACAAGCAACAAAAGCAACAACCACCACCGCCACCGCCACCACCGCCACCGCCGCCGCCAACGCCGCCGCCGCCACCGCCACCGCCGCCGCCACCACCACCATCACCGCCACCAGCACCATCATTCCTCCTCCACCGCCTCCTCCTCCTCCTCCTCCTCCTACTACCACCTTCTTTTTACAACTGCTACTGCTGCGTGTCATGCTCGTGATCGTGTTTGTACTGTTCCGATTTTTGTTAGTTTCGCTTTTGGTTGCTTCTTCTGTTGTTCAGCGCCCTAAACCCTAAACCCTAAACCGATATTTTAGCAGGATCCACGGCTGTCAGCTTCGCTCCTTTTGTTGGGAGGTCTTGCGAGATGCAGCGACTCGGACCAAGTCTTCGGCTGAAAAATCCGCGCCCTGGAGATCTTTAGGCGGGGGGGTTCCGGGGGGGGGGGGGGGGGGGGGG